CCCTGGACAAAAAGGATGGTAAAGCTAGAAAAGACTAGAAATAATGTGACCAAAGTAAAATGTTACAGCAAGGCGTGTCCACTAATTAGAATCGCAGGTGTATACAGTCTTGTAATCAGTCAGCAGGCTTATGTATAGGGTATTCACTGTCATGGGCGGTTCTAGACAGGGGCCAATGGGAGCCAGTGCCCCTGTAGATCATGCCCTGGCCCCTCTACTGAAGATATAATACTAAAAGAAATTCTAATGATGATAAGTGCTGAAACAGACACGGTTACTGATAGGTAACCTGGGACTGCTGGGACTGCTTTGCTTCATCCGGCACAGGGTGTCCTAAATCGGGGTAAAATAAAATCTCAAGTATTGACATCAAGCTGTTTTATTGGCTGTTGTTTACACCATTAAAAGATGAAATCCCTTTTTTTAGGAATAAAAAGGGGATCAATTACAGTTTCCCATTCGTCCCTGGTTTCACCTCTTGGTGTTAATTAGCTGTTGTTTCCTCATCGCCATCATTCCATCATCGCCTATTTAATTATTCATACTGAGCTCATTCCTTCTCCCATTGTTGTCTGAATCATTCTTGCCTAGTTGTTTTCTTCAAGACAAAAATCATTTATTGTAAGAAAGGGGAAGCTTTGGATGATTTACTCAATTTGGTTGCATGTTTGAACACCGCTTGTCTTTAAGGAAGGACCAATCAGAGACCCCTGTCATTTAGCATGATAATGAGCCGAGGGAACATATTTCAGCTCTGCAAATACTTTGAAATGTTTGTTTTGGTACCAAAGACTGGCTGCAGTTATGAATGATGATATGGTACGCATGCAAGAGATGAATAAATAACATCGACTATCACTGGGGAGGCCTAGATTCTCATCCTTTTGATCCGCTCTACCTCCTTTCACAATCATCCGTCTCAAAAACATCCCAACACCTCCCTACGTTCGTCTTCCTCTCCTCTTCCTCTCATCCTTCTTTCCCACCGCCCAACACCTCTTTTAGATTTCTATTGTTTCCATAGTAACTAGGTCTTGTCCCATGCATTCTTGTCTCGTGGTAGTTTCTTTTCCCTGCTGGAAAAAGCTTCTGGATTTTTTTTTTTTCTCCAAGCAAGCAACAGCTTGCAGCTTATATAATCTCACAGATACCAGTTTCATATTAACCTTTACATGTCGCATAAAAGCAATTCTTAACTGCATGTGTTATTTACCAGGCGGCCTTGCAGGAATGTGTGTTGCAGTGGTTTATTCTGGATGCCGTGAATAGATCTACTGAAAGTGAAAAACCACCATTTGCCTTCAATGCTTGTGGGAAATTAAATACGCTACATGATTTTCATTAGGCTGAAGCTTCAACTCAATGATGAGAAACACAAGGGAGAAGATGTTGCTATTGAAGTGAAATAAAACTGAAATAAAAAGAGGCCGTGAAGTTGGACTTGAAATATAAGGATTTATGAATTCATCCTCTTATTGTAATATTTGTTTCCAACAGTCAAGGAGTTGAAAAGCATTTGAGCTCTTAGTCTATGCATGTGGAGGCAGTGATTAATTAACAAATTCTTATTTACAATGATGGCTCGCTGCCCTTTATCCAAAAAGGGCAGCGCTGCCAAGGAAAGTTAATGGATGGGATGGAAGATGTGCTTACAGGCAGTGGAATTGATCCAAGAATCTAGTTTGTGTGTTTGAAACAAGGTACAGATTGGTGCTCTGATGGGAAATTTTGTATGTGGTTAGAGGAATCAATAGCTCAAATGAGGCCAGTGCGACCACATGTTCAGCCCAACAGAAAGACGCTGACATCCAGAGCTCACAGTCTGAGCATGAAGACACGCAAAAAGGCCAAATAATGCCCTTCCCAAGCTAGAAATCGAGAAAATGGAGTTTAAAAGGACATAAAGTAGATTCTTCGGATAAACAAGTTGATGAACCAAAAAAAGGCATTAACTGAACACTTGTCATACAGTACATGATGAGCAGAAAGACAAACACTCATTTTAATGGGTCCATTCCAGATTTTTACATTTTTCTTTTATTTTTTATTTTTAGTGTCCTTGAGTCTTATACTTCCCTTTTTTTTGCAAGCAAGTTGAAGGACCTTTAAAACAAACTATTCTAGCGAGTTTTAATATTTGACAAGAGCATGGGTGCCTTCAGTTTATATATAGAGTTTTAAACCTTTTTACTGTGCGGTATGGATGATGTAACAGATTGTAAAGAGTTAAAGTCTTTTAATTGTGAAAAATAAACTGAAGATTGTTTCATTTTTAACTTTCGATCTTTTGACGTTAAGCTGACAATATAACAATCATTATTGATAAGCCCCAGATTGTTTTTCAAAAGCAGAGGGAATAAGAACTGTTGGTATAGGAGATCAACCGAGGTTTGGAGGCATATGACACACAAATATTTGACATTAAAATCTACTCCCAATATGACCAGACAGTGTAACTCAATCTCGTCTAATACCAAATAATCCGCTTCGATTACTTCTCAGTAAATAATTGTGTGACATATGTGAAAGCATTGGACATAATAACGGACTGTCGCTAAAGTCACCTTTGAAACAAAGCCATCTCATTCAACTCGCATTGAACAACACGATACTGGGAAATAAAGTACATGCCTGCTTTGACAAAGGGACTTCGTTTTTGAACTATTAAAAGGCAAATTAAATCTGTCAAATTAAACTCTTTTTTGTTATCTTTGTTGTTCCTACGTAGCAATTTGAGCAAATATATGTTGCCCAACTTCTCGGCATTAGAAAACCAGCTTCATGTGGTAAACAATTTGTATTTTTCTCTAATGTATGTTCCATGATTATTAAAAAAAATGTTCAAAGGCAGCTTTGAATAAATCAAAAGAGGAAATTAGATCGAACATTATGTCCAAAGAAGTCCTCTGGTCTGACGTTCGTCAGGATATGAAATGATTTCACATAACACCGGGTTAGTCATTAGTCACATTTTTCCTTGACTATACCTGAAACCAGAAAACAAAAAATTGCAAGTATAAACATGAATTCTCTCATGTTTGTTTACAACATTTATATAAGGGAAAGTCACTCTTTCAGCAGGGCTGGTGTTATACATTATCTAACGTGACAAACATTTGAATTCATCTGCATCCCTGCATCCTTTATCTAACTGGAAATTATATGAAAATTACAGAGCTACTGAACAAATATTTCATGTCATATGGGAATCTGATTCCACCTACTAGTTCCAAAATGGTTTACAGAAAACAAACAGCTGTGTGTCGCTGGAAAAAATAACTTTAAACCTCAGAAGGTCATACATTATACCTGTTACATAAAATTATGTTATTTTTATGTCATATTTGGATCTTTTTTCCTCAGGATGGGAAGGGGAGGGGGGGTTTGTGCAAAACTGAACAAAAAAGTATTGGAAAAAAATATATATATTAATAAGCAGCCTTTTTTCTGCAAGCAGATTCACTCACCCCAACATGCTAACTGCTTAAAGTGGAGGACTTTGCCCTGCTTTCGAAAAAAAACTGCTTAAAATTATTTGGACACCTGGGAGCAGCAGGATGGTTTATATTAACATCCAAAAAATTACTTTAAATGTGATAATGGAAGCTGAAGGGATTACATAGCAGGTTTTTGTTAATTTTACCAAAAGTAATCCAGTCTTTGCAGCGGTGGAGAAACAACCATAGACAAGAAAGGAAAAAGCTGCAATTGGGCTAAAGTTGTAGCAGAGAGGCGTTGAGAAACTTTTTAAAAGATCAGGTATAAATCCACTGCTTTTCTGAGCACATTAGCAAAACAAAGCCCTTTTTAACAAAGAAAATAAAGTAAAATTCAGATCACTGGGGTAAACCCGCTTCAGGTACATTTACAGGCCGATTGTTGTGGATTATTTGCTTACCTGACACTTGTCAAAATAGGACATGCTTGCCTCTTGGCAGCCGACAGTGGGGATTTAACCAGGTTATTAAAGCTTTCATCCATTTAAATTCAGCGTGTGCTAAATGGATAACAACCACAGAGATGGATTTCCATTTTATCCTAATTCACTGGCTCGTTCCAGCGTACTCCATTTCTCCGACGGTTCTCATTCCACAACATCCATCTGCATCAAGCGTTTCTCTTTCATTATCTGCGAGTTTAATTTCATCTCACACTCCCGACGAGCCCTGACGGAAATGGGAGGCTGCTTTTCAAGTAAGACGGCAGTAAATATTTGCTGAAAAATGGAGGGCAATGGAAATACACTCACGTAATTAACAGCGATTGCTAAATTAATTACCGCCTGCGTAACCTGAATGGTCTGATTAGTTCCTATGTAGGCGTGAAGAGGAAAACTGTTTTCTTAAAGGGAGAACTCTCAGCTGGGGGAGGTCGAACTTTGATCCCTGTAGGGGCTTCTTGTTTTGTCGAGCTGTGCCAAAATATTTCATGGTCTGAATGAGATAAGAGCCAAGTGGAACATGGTGCAAATTAACATGCTGACCTCTTAGACCTTCAAAAGCAATACAGCGATAAGAGCTGCTGTGCAGAGATAAAGGAGGCAATTCTTAAAAGAAAAAAACAAACATCGAAGATGATTTAAAGGAAGTTGTCATTTGCTCCACCAAAAAGGCGTGAATCTATGCATGTGTCGATCTTTCTGACTTTTCGAAGCCTAACTACGTCTCAGGGTTGTCATTAATGATGGAAGGTAATGCCCAGTGGGACCGTGGGGTAAAGCGGGTCAAACATCCGTTTACCAGCAAAGGAAGCCTGCATTCACCAGTCTGAATTAAACCATTGATTAAATGCATCCCAGCCTCCAGCAATGCTCCGTTTCTACAAGATGCTTTACAATTCTCTTTATAGCTCATTCAATCAGCCATTTTATGACTTGCTTGGATAAATCAGCATTTCTCATCTGCTAAAACATTTAACAAATGGTCCAAGAGTTTCAAACCTCCCCTCGGATCCAATAAGACAAATAAGGCGAAACCACAGCTGTATTTGATCTTAGATACCTGAACCTGGATGTTTCAGCATATCGACTGGAGCTAGCCTGGTCTCCAGCACCATGTCGCCTCCCTTGACAAAACCTTCCCCTAACAATTCCTCCAAACTGTCTCGGAGGTAAGGAGCAGCACCGCCTGCCACACTGACCTCTGCAACCCGGGTGACCCCCTGCGCTCCTCTCATTACGCCAGCTGTTTTCTCTGCAGAGTCCTGGGCTCCTTCATTACGGCCCTCGCTGAGCTCACTGGCAAACTCCCTCCCTCCCTCCTCTCCTCCCCCAGGGCTCGTTATCAATAGCTCTGCAGTGAGCCGAGCAGCCGATTGGAAAGGCTCACTGCCGAGGCCCGGCGGACGTGCAGAGGCGGGAGGGGGGGTTATTCATTAGAGCCTAGTGGCACCAGTAAATCTGATCCAGCTACTGCGACTCGTGCCTTGGTCTGATAGGAAGAATTTATTGGAAGGGGGAGTCTTTTCCCACTCTCCTGTGATGTGGGGATGAGAGGGGCTGTAAACACCGGGCTCTACTCGTGACTTGTGAAGATAACAGAGGCAGAAGGTTATCTGCGCCGCTACGGGAATGATGTATGCATGGCAAACGGTTGGGAAAGCGGAGTATTATTGCGTCGTCTCCTTTCTGTCCCTGATGGCCTGACGTCACCGTGTCTCGTCTCGACTGATCCGATCTGCTGTTGAAGTAAAGATCTGTGGTAAACACTGGGGGGTATGTGGCGGTGGTTGTCTGAGGTGAACTCAAACACAAATCAACCATCTTTCCTTTGCTCTTCTTTCCAGATAAACACAGCACTGAAAACAGAGCCACAACCTGAAGCTCTATGTGGAAGTGAAGGACATTAGAGCCTCTTACAAGTTCAGAGAGCAACTCTGCTCCTACTGAGCAGAAGCTATTTTAAAAGAAAGCTAGCCACTGGCATTTGTTGACAAACGGTTCTGCTTTTACTGTAAAAATGAGAGGACAATATACTTTATAAAGCTCTTACAACTCAAATCGAAACCATTTCTTCTGTCACAGTCTTCACTTTTAACCTTCACACTAATGCAACTGACCCAGTTTCAACACTGACCCAATGGTTTGAACCACTTGGTCCATTTGGCAGAACATCACAGCTGACCTATTTTTAAAGTTAACCCCTTTTTTTTTTTACTTCTCTTTTTTGCTGGACCTATTTTTTTTTTTTTTTTTACATTGAGACACAAAGTGCCCCAACGAGCTAAACAGGCATTTTTTATTTAGCGGGACAATTTCGTGATCTGGCCTGATAGCTTCATCTTAATTGTTAATTTCACTCACCTGCCTAGTTCTGCCCCTATCCTAATTTTCACTCATCTTTTCTAGCTGTGTCTGTGCTTTATATTCAGTTTAGCCCGAGGAATTGGTGCCAGATCATTGTTTGTTTGCTTTCTGTTTGTTGTTTGCTTTATTTCTAAGGTCCTGTCTTCATTCCTGGGTGTCAGTGGGTTCAGAGGTTTCGTGTTTGTCTCGTATTTTGATCCCCCAAGAGGAGACCAGTTTAAAGTCTTGCAGAAATTCTTCTACAACGTCTTGTCTGTTCCCTCAACCATTGAGCCTACCCGTCTGCATCTGAGCCTGCCTGTCTGCATTTGTGCGTGTCTGTCCGGGCACGCTTCTGGACTCTCTGGAACTCTGAACCGGCTCTGTGGATTCCTGGAACCCTGTTTCTGTCTGTTTCTGTAGGGATCTGAACTCCTAAATGAGCTGAGGACACCTGAGATCTCATAACTGTCCGGTTCTGACCTGGATCAGTCTCCCGTCAGCTCTCTGTGGTAGCTGCATTGATCAAGGACACCCTGGATGGCTCTGCGCCGGGATCCCCTTCGGCAGTCCATCGGGTGGATCCTGCCTTCCACGCAGAGAATGGACTGAACTGTTGAACCAGGTAAGTGACTCACTCTGATAATCCTCTCCTGTCAGATGATCATGGTCACTTACCTGTGTTTCTCACTACAGAGTCAGTGATGGGTTGGGCCCCACCCCTTAAGTCGCCGTTCCACAACCCCACTCTTCAGTTCCGTTTTGTTTTAATAAACGTTTTAAACTTTCCTACTGACAGTCTCAACTTGAATACTGAGTCCATCTGTGCCGTTTTATGACAGACAAGGTATTTGAAACACATTCTTTATAAAATAATTACACTATAATAACACCCACCTTTTTATATCTTGTGCACAAACATATTGCATACTGAAAATGCCATTGGCCAGTAAATTAATATTTTGAATCCCACATGCTTGTGATATATCATTTGAAAGCTTAGACCTTCTAGTTTCTGAACATATTTGTACAGATCTGAAGGTTTTACACAAACTAGAGCTGTGTGACTTCAAACATTTCCAAAAAAAACGTTTTTTTCCACACAAGTAAAAAAAAGAAAATACAATTTTTTCATGTTAAATCTTTTTTTATATTTTATAGTCGACCTCTTCCACTTACTACGCTTGTCCTTCATGTTGTGGAAAACAGTGTAAATTTTCAGATCTCTATTCATAAGCATTGTGAAACTATTACCCTTTTTGTATGTAAAAGGTCCATTCTGCCAAATTTGGGCTAAATGTTCCATGCGCAAGACCTTTTCCAATATTTTTCTGTTGAGTTTGACTCTGTGCACATCATTTCAAACTTATTATTGTATTGTATTGTGTTTATTGCTATTGCTAAACAACATTTTGACATTTGTTAATGAAAGCATATAAAATGCAAGCTTTACTTGCCATCATTGCTCATGTCTTTAATGCGTAATATACCCATCAATGTTATACACAACACCCTAAAAGTGTCACAGAAGGCCTTGTATCTCTAAAAGCATAGAGATCTACACATTATATGGTAAATTTATCGTTTTAACATGAACCAACGTTTCTTTAAATTAAGGACGACAAAATTTCACTCTTAACAAAAAATCTATTTAAGAATGACTTGTTTGTGCCATTCAAACATTAGTTTGTTGTCCAACTCCCTTTGCCTGTATAATTATTCTATTCATCATTTTTAGAAGCGTTTAATCATCTTAATCATTAATTATTATTTCCTTTAATAATCAGTATATATATATATATATATATATATATATATATATATATATATATATATATATATATACACACACACACACACACACACACACACACATATACATAAATACATATATACACATTTCTCTCCTACTAAACCACTTAAGTACTTTTTTGTGTGTTTTCTACTGCATTTTATTTATGTAAAGCACTTTGAAGGACTTGTTATGCTACATACTATAAAGCTATAAAGAGCTTGTCCTTGCCTTACTAACCATTGCATACTGTATAGCATCATCGTGCATATAAAGCCTTAGTCCATGAGTTTAAAGGACTTTTTAGATCGTCTTCTTCTGACAGATTGGCCTAAAATTAGGAGCCAGAACTAAGTAGATGTTCACCATAAACTAAAAACATGATTCCTGAATGAGAACTGTGAAAGCTGGAGATGGGAGTGTCATGGTTCGGGAATAAAACCTAACAATAGGAGTGTTTCTTTACTTTCATCACATAGATATTTGTTGCTTTTACTTGCAGGACCAACGCTTTGGGAAATGAAAGAGCTATTTGTTTGGGCCATTTTAACCCAAGTTTGTATGGTGTATGAGTAGTTATAGTTTAGTTTTTATGGAATCATAAAACTTTAGATTGATCAAATGTAGGAAATGTATTGTAGAAAAGAAGAACCCTTCACTACATCTAGGAAAGAAATGCCATCACATTATTTCTGAGCTTCCTATAACATTTTGTTATGTTTATTTCTTAAAAAAATTATTTTGAATCCTTATAATATAACTCATATGTGCCTTTGACTTTAATTCTTACGGATTACTTCAATGTAAAGCTGCACAAAATCACCAATTATTCGTACCTGTATGCAGAATGCTTAGTCCAAACAACAGTGCAATCCATTAACCGGTTGTATAAGTATCCTGCACTTCTGCTCTCTATGCCTATAATATATGTGTTTATGCTTGTTTTTTTAATGCAACCTTATAAAATTTAGAAGGTAATATCAAAAGTAAAGTTTATTTATCGAGGAATCGTTAACAGAAACTATTTTCTGCTTCTAGTAGTTGGACAGATGACTCATTATACTGGGAATGAAATCAACATGTATTAATGGATTGCAGTTCATATCTGTACCTCAACACTGAACAGTATAATTGCATACAGGATGTTTTCCTAAAATCCTGGAAGCCCTACTATTACGTTTGAAACTGATGGCATTTTCTGCCATGTTGCTCCTTCAACTCTTCACTGGGCTCTGCTCTGTGTTTACTTCTGCGCTTGGGTGACTGAATCTGTGCTCTGGCCTGGGGACAAAAGAAATTATGTCCCTGTTCAAGAGTGTGGTGCTCTATGACAGCCCACTTGCGAGAAGCTCCTCTGCTGGCTGGCTTTGACTGTTAGTCAAGGCCAAGCCGGGTCTGGCTGAGAGCGACTTTAAGGTAGATAATAGAGGGAAATAAAGAGTTATCGCCAGGAAACAAAAAAAGCAGACAACTATGGATACATGACCGGAGAGTACTGTGGCCTTTACAAGGTTATGAGGGGTCTATACATACCAGCTATACGAGCTGAGACACAAACGAGTTGCCTTTCCCTTGAAAACCTGCCTCATCGATCTGTACAGCCTGACTGGAGTAAATGTACTATTCGCAATCTCTCTCCTCGCTTCTAATTTCCATTTGAGCAATTGGCCGGTATGGCTGGAGCATTGCCCAGAGGCTGAAGTCTACAGAGAGTGACTCTATTGTCTAGTGCTTTATTTATTTCTCTGTGGGCCAGAGAACTGCAGCTTCTTCTACCGACACCCTTTAGCTCAGCAGGACACCGTGTCGACCGCTGTAAAAACAATAAGGGTCCTAAAAAACTTACTAGAGTTTGAGAAGTAAATTAAAAGTGCTTGGGGGGATTCTTCAGATTCACTAGTTAATGTTTAATCTGATGTAGGAAGCTCTGAATGCCTGCTTTGGTAACAACTACTGGGAATATTTCATGAATATAACAATGAAAAATAACGGATAACAATGATGTTGAAATGTTAAATCTGCATATATTGTATTCCCTTTTTTAAGTTTAAGTCACCCACTGTTACACAGTTAATCTGTAAAATGTTTGTTTTAGACATT